ATCACCATTTCAGGGTACACTTGGAAATCAAGACGACACCGATCTCCGACTGCATCCGCCGTAGATCGCGGCGAAACCAATCAACGGCTGTATGTGTCCTGTGTGTCCTGTACCTCGGAAGCAGATGCACGAGGCAGGTGGTGCCCGTTTTTCTCTCTCTCTGTGCCTCTCTCTCTCTGTGCTTATACTGATCAGTACCACACCGAAGTGCTCGCGTGTCAAGCGAATCCGAANTGACATTTATCACCATTTCAGCGTACACTTGGAAATCAAGACGACACCGATCTCCGACTGCATCCGCCGTAGATCGCGGCGAAACCAATCAACGGCTGTATGTGTCCTGTGTGTCCTGTACCTCGGAAGCAGATGCACGAGGCAGGTGGTGCCCGTTTTTCTCTCTCTCTGTGCCTCTCTCTCTCTGTGCTTATACTGATCAGTACCACACCGAAGTGCTCGCGTGTCAAGCGAATCCGAACCTCTGTTGAGAAGGGCCGGTATCCTATGGAGGCGGTGCCCATGAACGATGAACGAGCGAGCGTTGTTGGTGGTTTGATTGTGATTGTGTATATGTGGTACACGGTATGTGCGGCACACGATTTTTTCTGCGGGTTTTATGCTAGAACGTCGGGCGCCGGGATCATATGACCATTGCTGGGTACAAAATTGACCTCTTCCGGGTACACCAGTAACCAATATCGGTCACACCAGAGGATCCTATTTCCAGCAGAAGTTGTACCAGATGGAGGTTTGTTCAGAAATGGGTACAACGGTTTTTCGGCCAATCAACTGACAGCCTGGGGGTGCAAGCGTGTTGATTTCTAACTGTGCACTATGGTGGTGATAAAGTACCCGGGCATGCCCGTTTCTGGTGATTGGTCTTCATGTTTTTTGTTCCATGATGGAGGTCCTGTACGTTACGTTTTGGATCTCCTCCTGCCCGATTACAGATGGCGCCCACACTTGAGAATGTCAAATTTGGCGTGAGGCTCGACGCTTATTGGCTGCCTCAACCCCAGCACATGTTCTTACGGCCATGTTCCTATTCCGATCAGACATTTGGTCGCTAGAAACGGGGTTCTTGTTCTTATGTCACCGTCAAGTGCTCCAGAGGCGCACCAGGACGCCGTTTGTTGACTCGCAGCTATGTACATACATCGATTGGACGTGGAATTCGGCGTGTAATTTCATGCGGAAAAACAAGTTGCGTCATCCTCATACAGCACGTCCATACTTCGCCGTACCATGCCCATATTGTCCATTCACCAGGCATCAAGATTACTGGCGGTCGACTTGGCAGCATGCTTGTGCAAAATACTTAGTTAGACTGGATTACGCACCGCAGCAGCTATGCTCGCGGTTGAGTACAAATATGAAAACAAACTCCGAAGGCTTCAACCTTCTTGGTCGATAAGGGTCACGTTTGGCCTGCGTTCCCTTCCCGCTCTACTAACGCCCAACGTGGCTGCAGCTCCGCTCCCATCCACCTGCTCGACCGTGGTTCTCTCAAGCAAGATCCACGAGCCCACCAACGCATTCGGATCTCCTCTGCATTTCCAACGGCAGCTTCATGCTGCGCGTACTTTGGTCTAGGTCGAGATGCACACGGTAGTCGTACAGGTGGCGAGTGCGCTCCTGAGACTGTCGAGTGATCACCCGCCCAAACCATCCCATGCCCAGCCTAACGAGTACTCCACGCTGCGGTGACGAACTGTCAAGAGCTGCCGGTGTAGATGCTTGGATGCGAAACCCATCCGGAATCTCCATGGCGAGAATCTCGTCGTCCGATTCCATGCTGTCGTCGTCGTCCACAAGACTCAGCTCGTTCATCTGGCCACTGGCCGTCTCTGCAACGACGGGCATAAACGACAATGATGCAGAACCTGATATATATATGTCATCTACGCAAACATATGTTGAACGGCAACGGCAAGGGCAAAAGCAACAGCAACAGGAAACGCAACAACAACTAAGCAAAAAAACAATAAAACTGGTGGGCATCCAACTTACCCCGAGTGTCTTCGTCGCTAGAATCGCTTTCCGGATGCAGACGACGCGGTAGCGCGGTATGAAGACAGTGTAGGGCGAGCGCTGTTGATGATGCCCGAGATGTCTCCATCAACCTGCGTGGTCCACTCTTCTTCCGAGAACACGCCCCTGCTCCTCAGGTCCCACGCCAAATCGAAGGCCTCCCAGTCTTCGCTCGAGAAGGAGTTGCCCTCCCTCACATGTTTCTTGATCACCTCCTACTGGCGTTGAAGGATCACGCCCTTTGCTTTGAGTGCTGCGAGCTTCTGGAGCTCCCTTAACGTCGCCAAGGGCAGCGACATGATCGGTCTTTGTGAAGACAGAGGGCTTCTTGCGTGGCACGCACCCGAGGAAACCCGAGGGCCGCAGAAGAAGCGAAGGGGGCACAGCGATATCCCACATATACACCCTCCTGGTTCGCTAATTTTTCGGTACCCAGCTTATTTTATGGAAAAAAATACTGGGAAGGAGGAGGGAGGGGGTGACGCTACCCGCCGAAGTTCTTGTCTTCCAGCGAAGATCTGCAATGGACCCCGTTCATATCTTGACCTCGAGTTTGGACACCTCGATACGGGTTCTTGTTCTTATGTCACGTCAGAACTGAGCACCTGTTCTTATGGCCGAATTCTCGACCCTTTTGTGACGGGAGTTACGGTGGCTCTTTCGGGAGGCACAAAAAGCTGTTTATCACCGATAGTCCGAAATTTGGAAATAGAAAGGGGAAGAAGGACGAAGAAGTCTGACTGGCCGCACACATACGTTGCGAGCAGCGCCCGCGGAGTTGCGCGCAGCCAGCACGAGCAAATAGGGTATGTGCCGTGGCCGGCGCTGGGGATAGAGTATCAGGTGCACCCCGAACGGGCTGAAGGGGGAAGGCCCACACCCACCATGGACTTGAGCTGCACGTATTCGCAACGGACACATCGCAATCACCCACAAACTAGAGAAGAAGGCTGGTTCGTAGCTGCTGCATCAACACAGCACCCCGTGCACGATGGCTGTCTTCTCTCTCTCTCTCTCTCTGGTACCACGAATGCCTCACCCCGAGCGATGGGCAATCTAACAGTGTCCTACCCGTTTGATCAGTGCCCGTCCGGTGCCTTTCAGTAGGCAACACAACATTAGAAACACGCAGGATCGGATGCGATCCGGCAAACGCGGCTGAACGCACGTTGCTGAAGACACAAAATGAACATCAACAGCACACACATCATGCTGTTGGACGTACTCACAGCATCGACAGATTATTGCAAGCAAGATTTCCGAGCAGATGGAGCGGGGAGTTTGGGGGTTCAGCAGTTGCTATGGATTAGATTTGGTGGTACCAACTTTGCCGCATATTTCAGGATTGAGGGTGGGGGTATAGGTGCGTCTACAACGGATATGGTGTTTGTGTTTTGTGGCTGCCGACTTCTTCTTCTTCTACTTCCTTTTTCCCTCTTTTTTCCCTTCTTCCTGTGTGCAATCAAGCCCTTTTTCCCGGCTATCACGCCACGGCTACCACGCCAATCCCGGCTATCACGCCACCCGGCTACCACGCCTTCTGTACTTCCACGTCCTTGCGCACGCCTTCGCACCACGGTTATCACGCCAACAGGCTTTCATACCACATTCAGAGATACCATACCCGAGCTATCACGCTCCATCCCAAAGCAGCAGGCTATCACGCCCATCGTAGTTCCTCCATTGTACCGTTGGCGGCGACCACGCCGCTGGCTCTTTTATTTCCCAACTACGGGACCCCGCGCGCCAAGGCACCGACGCACAAAGCTGCTCAACACGCAAGCGTTCATGATCAAGAGAGTGGCTGCTGTGTCTACGCGCGCAACATGCCGGACGGAGACGGACGACAACCTCCGGGGGGATCAGGTCGGGCTGTCCCTTCCCCCGGGGCAGGCGTCGCGGACGGAGGAGGAAGTAATTCTTTCTCCGTCAACGATGCACGAGACCGAGGGGGTGCGCGAGCGGCAGGAGGGGAAGATCAGCGCAACACGATGCGTGAGCTGGTCGATCTCTTGAAGCAGGCCTTCGCGACATCAACTCAGGACCAGGGGCACCGTGCCCATCCAGGCACGTCTAGCAACCAAACTTTAGAGCTGAGGCAGAAAGAGAAAATTGATGTCCCAGCATGGAGTGATGATTTTCTGAAGAGCAGAGTTGCATTGCGAGTGTTCACGAGTGCATTTGAAGCGTGGCTGGAGAATGAGGGACTTAANATCAATTGAAGTTGCATTGCGAGTGTTCACGAGTGCATTTGAGGCGTGGCTGGAGAATGAGGGACTTGCTGGTGTGATGAGGGGTTCAGAGGTACCTGTTGGTGCAACTGGTATGGACTTGAACTGGTTGAGGAGCACGTACGGAGAGGAGAGAGTGAAGCAATCGAGGAAGATTTGGACGTTCATGCTTGCTAAGATCACAGCTCAACCCGTACAAGCCCAAATCTTGGCTGCAGAGCCAGCCCAAGCAGGGTACCGTGTCTTTATCGATCAATACAGCCAGGACAGAAGCCAGGAGAGACAAAACCTAGATGACGCATGGAATGTAATAGGTCAGAGGCAAGGAGAGAGTCTGATGGACTATTACGGTAGGGCAGTCGCGTTGTGGATGAGACTTCGCTCGTATGGGGATAACCGGGATGAAAAA